CTCTTTCTCGCACTCCCCACGGTCTGTCTCTCTCTCTCTAGCTCTCTCTCTCTCGCTCGCTCCGCCGCCACGGGTTAATAAGGTATCTTATATACATGCATCAATGCTGCCGCAGCCAGGCACACATCTCTCTACAATTATTAGACATTGTCGGGTGTGATTATAGAGTGTATTGACAGCGTAAGCTTCACTTTAAATGCACTCACGGGCAACGGGGAACAACCTCGACCATGTTCAGCGCCTGCATGACCTTCCTCATGACGATGTTGGGAAATAACAAGATAAAACTCATGTTTCCCTATGGTCATGTCAACTTCTTTTACTTTATACGTGCTATATTCATTGTCGAATTATGTGATTAGAAAAAATGAAATATTGCATTTATACTCAATTCACAGTTGTCAACAGACCATTAAAAAGTCATGAAGTTCTTTGAAAAGATAAAGACTGAAAACGTGTAGCCCGCATTCGCTCCACAGCTATGGTAATAAATGTTGGCTCTCGAATTTCAGCATGAGCACAGCACGACGACGATGAAGTAGCAGGCACTCGCAGGCACTTACACTGCTCAGACTCATCTTCTGTGGAGTGCTTCCGCGCGCATAACTAATCGTGCAGAACTAGCATGACTAATCGTGCCGCTTCGTGCGTCAATAAACTCAATATTCACAGCTAGTAGTAGTAGTATCAATTTAAGCCGGTACGGGAGATCTTTTCCATAATACATTATAGATACCTATAGACACATGTGTTATAGCTATACTCTCTGTGAATATTGACTTTATTGTCGCACAATTAGTCAATATATTAGCAAATATATGCGTACAGTCATCTCCCATACCGGCTTGAATATAGACGCTCCCAGCCGATTCGCGCTTTGTTTTCATCGGCGCGGCTCACCGGACGTATTGCTAAGGGGAAGTGACGTCACTCCGCCCCCACCTATAGCGAAGTTCCACCATCCATTTGCACGCCACTTATCAATAGTGAACTCACAAAGAAGCGCGACTTATCAATACTGAACTCACAAACAAGCGGCACTTATCAATACTCGGCCACACACCAACTTACCAATCGTTATCTTTTAAATCTTTTATCCATCGGCGAGTTGCAAGCGACGCTGCCTCCACTTCTAGAGCAGCCCTCTCAGCCGATGCGTTGAGGCGTTCGCTCATAACACAGCTGCTTCTTGAAGCATTCGACGAGTAACTTTTTGCCCTTCAGTCTTCATTGGGCTGAATTTCCCAGGAGGAACATCGCCTGCTTTCATGAACAGCAGATCGTTTCCAATAATGACCCCTAAGTCGTTAGGGGCATCTCAAGACTGTGTCAGTCGACGGCTATTCATAATTCCCTCCACCTCGCACATTACAGTCTGCAGCTGTTCCTCCTGCCAATTGCCTTCCTGGGTTGCCTCGAGAAATGTTCATTAAATTAAATTACGTTCCACAAATATGAGAACTTGGTTTACAGTGCTAAATGGTTGTTGCTTGTAGTTTGGACGTAAAGTGAATCACCACCTGGCTGTTACTTCCTTGCTGATTACGTTGCGTATGTCAACATGTCCGTCCATTCAAAATAAGCATTTACATTACGTCGAAACTGAATGCAACGATTACGAAGAGAATGACATGTAATTAGTGCTGAAAGGAACTGCAGTATTACGGCCAGGCAGGCAGTCAGTCAGCAGTGAGTGGTGGCGCCACTGTGCAGGGAGGTAGAGAGCTAGCAGTGAGTCGTGGCGATGCAGTTGTCGTAGCAGCGCACCGACTATGAGTCACCAGTCATGCAATGGATTCACACAACACAGGACGACATAGCTGTTTAATGAGTCAATCTGCTGGTTTAGCATGGACTACATCATATTCTAGTTCTTCTGATGCGATCATGTATCATCAATGTAACAGTGCTAGCCTGCATAAACTTCCTATTGGGTATCGGCCTGCGCTTGTTACACTGCTCAGGCTCATCGTCTGTGGAGAGGTTGGACGTGTTCTCTGCCTTCTTTGCACGCCGCAATGCCTGTGAATAGTCCTCTGCAAAATAAATGTTTTGACACATGTTAAGGAATTTTCCTAATAATGATAACTACTATATTTCAAACACCATATTGATCTTATGACATGTATAACAACCTTTTACATATAAAATTCTATTTCATTGTTTGCTGTATACTTGATGACAGTCAGTACCTTTAAGCAAATGTAGAATTCATTTGCATTATAGTCCCAAGTGTGTCTGAAGCTGCACATAATAGTGTAAAAGCATTAAATTGCATCGAGCTATATTATTACAATATTTCTTGCAAAGACATTTAATACAACCATTACTTATACTGTGTATACTGACCATCTCCCATGAGGCCATGAGCCATGAGCCATGAGGATGAGTCGTGAGGCTTTTGCATTATTCTCAAGTGACTTACTTGCAGCGGTTAGTTCACGTCTTTCGTACGTATTGCAACACTTCTTTGGGGCGCCATGATTATTGATGACATCTTGAATCGTCCCGCTGGATCGATCCTTCTTCAGTGACAGGCGCATGGTTAACGTAGTGATTTCGAAAAAAGACATAAAGGTTTCTGGGTCTAAAGTTGAAACGATCGCTCAACAATAAAAATAAATAAGCCACTTCGTAGTTACGCATTCAGCATGCGTCAGATTCCAGAGTGAACTTTTGCGAAACGTTAATTTGACATAAACCAGTCGCACTTGATGACAGTCAGTACCTTCAAGGAAATGTACACTTTATTGTCATTATACCCCGTCATTATACAGTTGCGACAAATATCTTACGTCGTGTACGCACTCGATTTTCTTTCCCTTGCAATCATTGCAAGCAACGCACACCCCACTTTCTACGCACTTAAGACTGCAGAGTCAGACAGGTAAGTTACACTTACCTGTCGTTTGGGCAGTCCTCAGTATCGTGTGCCATGTGGGGAGTATATGGTCACGCCAGTACAGTAGGGAACTGCAGGGTCATACATGACCACACCATTACTCATTGGCTGTGGTAAATCTGCAAATTAACTTGGCGCGGGCAATTGCGTGCGCAACCGCGACGCGGCGCCGCTTCGACGCTCCAAGCATTGCCGTCGACGGGTGCGGCATCGGCACGCTGATGTTGGCCGTGTGCATCTCGCGCAGCAGCTCATGCAGGGAGTGCTCGTGCATGTCGTTTGGCTCGGGCTTCTGCTGCTGCTGCTGGTGCTGTTCTTGCTCCTGATCATATTTCAGGTGAATCCCCAACACTGAGGTGTTTGGAATCCAATAACGTATATTCAATGAATTGCATGAATTCAGGATGTACGGTCAATTAATACATCAGAACATTACTTTAAGAGTATTGCTGGGAGCGAATGCTTTCGCTTGCTCTGTTCTTGGTTTTGAAGTAGCAGGTGTTTTCCACTTACATGTTGCGCCTTCGTCGACCCTAATGAATAACCTGTAGGCAGTGTCAAGCGTGCACAGCTTAGCACCGGGCTCGCGTCGTCGAGGTGACCGGTCGCCGGCGACTCCGAGACGCTGTCGTATCGCCACTTTTCTGATTAAAATATACAAAAAGGGAGACTGCATTTTAATACAGTGAAATACATTGCTAGAGAAACATGCAGTTGATAAACAATAGATGAAATAATATCATCTAAAATGCAGATTTCATCACATCTTATGACCCGCACCCCAATACAGATTCCAATAGAAAAAAACACAGCTGCCATAACAAAGTATTTCAGGAACTTAGCATGTTTTGTTCCTTTCACTATCTACCCAACAATCCTAGTACATACCCCCCCCCACACACACACTAACAACAACCACAACAACAAGAACAACAAACCCCTCTTCTAGAACGTTGACTGTTACGTTTTTGAGATCGTGTGGAAAGTCAAAGAGTATTGGTACAGCATCTTCTGCGAACCGGGTTGTGTGACCACTGTGGTCAAAGCAGTTTCCTGTAAAATAATCTGAACATTCCATGCACACCACTTCTCTCTCTTCATGTTTACAAGCCATTTCCTTAGCAAGGCAGGGCGGCCAAAGGCGAACCTAAAACAACAAAAATGTAACATTTCCCTTTATTTAATTAATAATTTGGCTTGTAGTTACTGTATACGCTGTATATTTGACGGTGGTTTGATTTTCGGTATTTTAGCGAACGCGTTCCCGATCGCAAAAAGAACAACACGCGAAAATACCAACACGCTGTTCGTCACTCATTGGGCAATTCACCGACCGCCACATTAACATTTTCCGTCAGGTCTCAATTCCTTAACGCTATGAAATGCAAATGTCTGAATGAATGCACAATATTTGCGGAATATAATATTTCATAAATAATTACAAGATCATAGCAGCATATTCCTATCGTCAACGAAATTTTCATTAAGCCAAACATCACAGACACAGAGAGAGACAGACGGCGTATATTAACGTGTGACTTACTTGCACAGGCCCTCATTTCTCACTTCGCCTTACCACATACCACCGCCGTACATACGGGGGGGCCAGGCGGGGCAGTTGCGACCCCCACAAATCTTATTTGAAGGCACAGTTATTATTATTTAAGTCTTTGCACTCCATAGGCGACGTAAGTCGCCAAGGCGATTTCCTCAGCAGCTGAGGTCCCCCCTCTGCTCGCGCAGAAAACGCATCTGAGGGAATGTCATTTCAAAAACATTGTGCGGGAGGGCCCCCACACCCTCCCTTCGCGTGGTCGCAACTTATACCTCTACACGGCCCTGCTACTGCACCCCCACTGAGTACTCAGTAACTGACTGATCTCGAGTCGGTTTTCGGCGAAAATACCAGATTTTCACCGCTCATTATCTCAGCGTAGGGGCATCGTAGGGACATGCGGTTTGTTTTATATGAACAAGGTAAGACAGCCAATCAATAATACTGCAAAGGATCGTCAAAATAAAACGGGAGTTTATTAATTCGACTAATACTGCAGCATGGTTTCAGCATTTTACCGTTGTACGCTCTCCTTCTTTATATGCTCTTGATATTATATAGACGTTATTTGTATGTACGGAATAAAAATGTATCGTTACTGACCATAATAGATGTAGGATTCCGTACAGAAACAGCAAAATTTTACATTTTGATCTCAGCATTGACATATCTGTGTAACATAGTATATATACGTATATCAGGATGTATGAAGTATATAAATGAAACTTTATACTACTTTCTACTTATTAATATGGGAACTCGAACATAAATGATAATGTGGCATAACTTTTTACTCAAAACTGAAATTTTACAGTATTATTCCTCGATAACTATATAATATTACACAAAATTTAACAGTGGGATGCAAGGAGGTTTTTTCGCTCTGTGTGAAAGCAGAATGAATAGTGAGATGTATATATTGTATAGACGTTATTTGTATGTACGGAATAAAAATGAATCGTTACTGACCATAATAGATGTAGGATTCCGTACAGAAACAGCAAAATTTTACATTTTGATCTCAGCATTGATATATCTGTGTAACCTGGTATATATGTATATCAGGATGTATGAAGTATATATAAATGAAACTTTATACTACTTTCTACTTACTAATATGGGAACTCAAACATAATGTGGCATAACTTTTTACTCTTAAAATTGAAAACTGAAATTTTACAGTATTACTCCTCGATAACTATATTACACAAAATGTAACAGTGGGATGCAAGGAGGTTTTTTCGCTCTGTGTGAAAGCAGAATGGCACCCTGATTGTGTCTGGCATGACTGTTCTATCGCCTCACTCTCGCACGTAAAATGTGTCTATGCAGCGAAGAACTTGTGCATATATGTCCATTCCCTCAGACTCTGATGCCCTCAAAACGTCTACTTGACCATGCAGCTGCTCAACTTGCTGCGTTGATAGGGGACATTGTACAGAAGGAACAGTTACTATGCTGGGCGGGTCTTCCAGATTCCATTCAATGCCAAATTGCTGAAATAGATTATCGGCATCCGGAAGGTGTGCATCGAACACATTGGTCACCGCCCTACTTGACATCCCTGCCCTTTGCACAAGCCCCCCAAACCACAGTTGAAGAGGTGTTCTGTGGTTCTCCGTTCGAACAGGATGGTTGTTGTGAGCCGCGGCCCAATCCCGCAAATGACGCTCAATCCTTGGAATGAAAGTATGATGCAGGGCAAACATATGATTCACATTGGACACGTCCAGGATGTTGAAACTTTCCATGTGGTAGAACAGCCTGTAGTATGTGTCCAACACCTTTGAGTACACGTCTCTCCACAATCTTTCTATTCGAACGTTATGCACAGATCGTCCAGCGATTGCGCTGCCTCTTCCCTCACCCTCTTGTCTGCTCATAAATGTCCTCACGTGAACAAATTCTCCGCCTTCGTCAGTGCGGATCCGACTTGGTACACTATAATCCCGGATTGCTCCAAGGAAGCAATAAAGGCTGCTGCGTGCATTGTTGTTTCCTTGGGCATGTAGGTAAACCACCAGTCTGCTGAACCCATCAATACCGCCATTGATAATAATCCTCCATCTGCAAACAGAGAAGAGTGGGTGCATTAGTTGATGATTAGTGAGTGAAAAACAATAAAATATTCCAGTCAAATTACTGTAACGAAGAATCTAAAACACAATATTACATGTATAATATAATATAGGTATGATCAGGAGTAAGATAATATAGGTATCTACTATCTATCTACTCCTATATTATCTTACTCCTGGTATGATTGTAGAGTTGTTAACCAGTTTGACGAAATAAACGTAATAGGACGTTGTCATCTCTCCCATAGGAGTAACAACTATATGCAATATGAAACATGTGGGCCGCGGGTCAAACGGTTCTTGAGATATCGTTTATTTCTAGTACGAGTGCCTGACCCTTTTAACTTTAACTCCCACTGAATCATGTATGCCCCTTCACATCGGTTTAAGTATGAAGTTCAGGCAATCAAGCATAATGATGATGAAATCATAGAAAAATATGTTCATGATGTTCACATAAATGGTTTGTTGACTCTCTATCCGCTAATTCTTTCTAACTTCAATAAACTCTTCAGTAATGAAGTGCCCAGTATCAAGTTAAAACACTGTATTTTTTTTCTAATAAATATATTACCTTCTGAGGGCATGGTTGGTATCCAAATGCCATAAGCTGTTGGGTCCAGGAACAGAATAGCGTCGACGGTGAATCACCTGTGCCCATCTGCTGGCAGTTCCAACTGGGTCAACAACCCTTACTGCCCTCCGAACTCTCTCGCGTTGAACTATTATAGGATGAGCAAGACCCCGTAGATGGGCACGAACTTCCTGCGATCCTGAATTTGGATACTGTCTGTTGATATTTCTCACTTGAGCTTCAAGATTGGCATTGCTGATGGAACTGTATTCTTGGCGCACAGTTGGCAAATTATGTCTCCTGATATGCCTGTATAATGTGGTCCGGCTGGTGGTAGTCAGTAGACCCTGCCTAGCAACTTCACTCAGGGGATAACCAATTCGCCTCAACTGAGTTAACTGTTCTGCCCCGATGGCATAACGGGGCGGGCCTCGGAATCCACTTGAAACCCTCGGGCACATTTCAGATGGTTGCTCGGTTTCCGCACGACTCTCTGTATTCAGTCTATCTGACTGATCTGTAGCCGTAGGTGGACCTGTTCCCGACATTGGATACAAACGGGATGATAAGTCATTGTAGACTCGTGACAATGCTGATTCGAATGCTTCGCAATGGGCTCCAAGTTGTGGTTGTCCATGTAGATTTTCCCTGACTCTGCCAATCTGATTGCAAAACAAACATAGAAACGTAACATTATCATGATTATGGCATTAATGCAACGGCATTATGCAAGAAATATGAAATATATCAGAAAGAAGCAGTTCAGAGTTAGGACGTCATATCTATAATAATATACTTTAATACTTTATACTTACTTGAGTTAACAAAGTTCTTGACTGAGCAAGGAATTCCCGCAACCTGGATCCTGAGGTGGATTCGGAATTGACGTTTCGCCAGTGATCATTCTGCCTTGCCACTCTCTCGAAATGGGTCAGAAATGTAAGGACCTCTTCGAAGAATGACTCGACGGAATTACGGGATGCCCGTTCAGCTCTATTAGGCAGAGGCGCAATCACACAAGTTACACATATAAGTGAAACAATTACTGTCTCGTTGAACATAATAAAGGGCAACAGTACCTGTAGGCTGTACAGCCGTATAAAACTAAAAGGAGAACGCTTCACGTTTGTTTGTATACAATATAGTTGTTGTATATTGTTTGTTTGAAATAGATATAAACACTAGAACGCTGATGAACAGTGGCGTAGCCAGCAATTTGAAACAGGGGGGGCCAAGGTGAGAGGGCGAAGCGACCGAGGGGGGTAGGGTGTGGGAGGGGTATCCCCCCTCCCACGGTAGGGAGATTTTTGAAAATTCGTGCATGAAAATGGCATTTTCTGCACACTAACATTCAGTATTAGGGGTAACTTATATGAGAAGTGGCATATGCTAATCACTTATAACCCCCTCTCCCTCGCTTTTTATTTTTTCCACTCCAATCCGATCAACGTGGGACGATGGCCCCTGGCTGTGGCGCCGGAGGGCTCTGAGATTACACACGACCAGTTGGTGGACCCTAAGCTAGACCAGTGAAAATGGTGTACGAAACCAGTGTTTTTCAGGGAAGGAAGAAAAGAGTTAAGCGACCAAAGACAGTGATGAAGCTATTTCTCAACGGTGTAATTTTAGTAACCACAGTAGGGTAATTTTTGAAAATATGTGCATCAAAATGGCATTTTTGCGCATTTCATTTTCATTATTAGGTGTAGGTAATAGTGGTATAGACCAATCCCATTCAGGGCCCTTCTCTCTTAATTTTTGTACTCTCCGATCAAGAGGGGGTCATGGCCTCCTTGTGCCCCCCCCCTTAGCTGACGCCATGTCCTGCTTGTGTTGTTAGCAAGTACGCAAGGCAATGATGCATTTTATCCGTCCTAACTGTTTTCAAGTCCTCATATAAAAGTTAAAAGGTAAATTATTTTTGAAAAGTAGAGGACATATTGAATGAAATGCGCAATAAAGATCTACGGAAAACAGGTAGATGTGTTGCGAATGCAGTGATAAACATGCAGATTTATTTACATACAAAAGATTTCATCGTCTTAACGAATACAATAGCGTTAAAGATCACATTTAACATTTTGTCGATATAAAAAATGTTTTTGCTTATAGCCGATCTGAGAAGAACTAAAACTCATATTGTAAGATTTGATTTAAAATAAAACGAAGGTGGCTGCAAAATATGGCGCGCTCTATTAAAACTACAAACGAAAGTTTACCATGAAAAGGAAGTTGTTTTTGCTGCTCTGGATAGATGAAAGTTACTTAAAATTTGTTGAAATGGATTTGTAAATAAAGACCGAGGTGGATGTGCCAAAATGGCCGTCTATAAGTTCCGAATATATCAGTTATTCAACAAAGGCATTTCCATTTTCCTTTCTTCTGTCATAAGAGTCTCGAATAATAAAATTCCAATCCAAGCATATTGCAACAGCACAGACTGAGCAAAGAAGAATATCTCGCTTCTTGTAGTCATGTTTTTGTCTGCTGCAGAAATCTCATGTCCAAATCAAGTGCTTCTTCGTCGATTTCACAGAACATTTGAGTATTTCGTTGACATTTATGTCAATTCACTTACACTCCTTGTTCAACGAAAAGGAGAATGTAGAGGCATAGAATCGTGGCTGGGTCATTAGTAGATGACGAATTAGACTTGACCAGTGTTCGAAATTCCGTTCGCCGCGTCGCCTCGCGACAGTTTCGATGCGGGCCTACCAGCTTTTTTTTCTTGATACAACAGGTGCCGTGATCTACAGCTATTTGAGTCCCGAAAATCGAACACTGAGAACTGTTACGCTCGTAGAAATCTGTTATGACTATTAACTTCCAGTGTATTTATTTGAAATACTAATTCCGTGATAAAAGGCCGTGACACTATCATGTATATTCAATGCGTTTCGCCACTGTGATGATATTTAGTGGTCAATTCAGAAACGTGCCTGGATGTTCGGATCGCACAGGTTAGAACAGGTTCCTGCATGCAGTAGCAGCGTTGGCATACCAAAAATCGATAAGTGGTGAGGCTTACTTTTGGGCGCAGGTAGTGACACGCTTACTTGTGTTGGTCCAGGGTATAATTTACGGTGCACGGTCCGTGCAGCACGGCTCACTGTTCATCTGCGCTAGGTTGTGAGTATTTTCTCAGCATCCACGCAGCATTTCACGTTTGGACTAAACAATCAATATAGTATCATTGCTCGTTATTTAGCAAACTACAGTATAACTGTTTATAAATATATTAAAGAAGACTTAGATAAATATATCATGTTATTTATAAGTAAATAATAATAATGTCATCAAGTTTTAACCACACGTCATAATTTAAGTCTGTAGGCTGCAAAGCACGTCAGTATTACTACTAGTCATCAAACAGCAGTAGCAGCTGCGATCGCACTGCACTCAGGTTTAAGCTCGTTGTCATAATGTTTTAACGTTGGAAAATACTATATACATTTATACAGTGAGCTAAAATAAAAGCTTCGTCCTATCGGTACGAGCTTTATGTCTAAAAACTACATTTACATTGGACACACATCAACACAGACGGAATTCGCCCAGTGCCCATCAAAATTTACAGTAGGTAAATTTTCCTAATTTTTTCTTTTCCACCAAAAGTGTTGCTAGTTGTAGCTATTGGAGTACCCTGAAATGGCTGCCTCCGATTCATCACAGAGTTTATAATTTTCAAATGTTCTGCCCCCAGACCCATCCATAAAGTCGCTGAATGTGTACAGAATACCAGTCTGTTCTCTGCTGTCAAGTGACAAGTCGTAGGTTACCAAGGACGCTACATATAACGACGTATGTGGCGTTCGCTTAATTTGAGCCCCGCGAAGCATTAAACAGTCTCCGAAGAAGAGAAGCGGAAACAGAGGGCATTATGAATTATAACATTGATAATGACTAATAAACAAGGAAGAAGCATGATATGCTGTTTTATTACTGTAAATTTGCTCCAAAATTGGTCGGCGCATCAGCTTTGGTTGGCGCTCGCAGCTTATTAGAAGCTATAGCCCTGCAAGCCTACAGCTTTTTCTAGAGTCATAGGAAACCTGATCTTGACAATGGCTAATTTAGTAGAATGTTCGTTCAGCGCAGATGCAGAAGTAAGCGGCTGGGTGGCAGTCGCGTGAAGACGCGTGAGAGTTTTTTTTTGCTTCGCACTTTTTTTTTTTTTCCATTTTTCTTGGTTTCTTCAAGAGGGGGCCATGGCCCCCTTGTGGCCCCTTAGCTACGGGCCAGTGTGATGAAGCGATACAGCGCCTCTACGAAGTCATGGCAAAATAGTGCGGAATTTTGTTTTACTTATATTGACTAAGCAGCAGGCGAAACATCTTCCATTTGAAATCAATCTCATCATTAATAGCACAGCATATTTATTTATTTATAAAATTATTAATTAATTAGGGCCTAACTAGTATTATTTTTATAGTATTTACTGAGCATGGCCCCCGATGCGAAGTTTTCTACGCTGACTCACGCTCGGGAATAGAATGCCAGATTACTGGCCTTAAAACTACTGCGAAACCAGTTTCGTCGGGCTCGAACTATGGTTTTGATAAGGAAACTGTCTTGTAGGCTTCTCATTGTGAACAATGGCGCTGGAAGCTGGGTTTTGCTCCGGCAAAACGGATTACTGCTATGAATGTTATAAGGCTAGAAACATAGGTTCATAGCAGAACTAGATTCATACAGGAACCGCTGGTTTCTCGAATTATGATACAAATGCGGCGGTTGAAAGTGTGTTTCTTGCTGAAACCTAGGTATCTTGCTTCGCAAAACCTAGTTTCATTGCTCACGGAACTAAGATCCAGCTATAACTGGCGTATAGCTAGAATAACCAGGTTTCGTGCGCACGAAACTAGTTTCTTGGGGCAAGGAACCTGGTTCCTCGAGGCAATGAACTAGGTTTGTGAGAGCGAAGTGTTTCGTGCAGGAACCCGTGGTTTTCTCGATTATGATACAAATGGCTTGCCATATGCGTGTGCGTCTATATGCGCGTGCGTGTGCGTCTATATGCGCGTGCGTGCGCGTTTATATGCGCGTGTGCGCGCGTTTATATACGCGTGCGTCTATATGCGCGTGCGTGCGCGTCTATATATGTGTGCGTGCGCGTCTATATGCACGTGTACGCGTGCGTGCGCGTTTATATGCACGTGTGCGCGCGTCTATATGCGCGTGCGTTATATATACGTGTGCGTGCGCGTTTATATGCACGTGTACGCGTGCACGCGCGTTTATATGCACGTGTGCGCGCGTCTATATGCGCGTGCGTTATATATACGTGTGCGTGCACGTGTGTGCGCGCGTCTATATACGCGTGTGTGCGCGTTGCACGTGTGCGCGCGCGTCTATATGCACGTGTGCGCGCGTCTATATACGCGTGTGTGCGCGTTGCACGTGTGCGCGCGCGTCTATATGCACGTGTGTGCGCGCGTCTATATACGCGTGCGTGCGCGTCTATGTGCGCGTGCGTGCGCGTCTATGTGCACGTGTGTGCGCGCGTCTATATACGCGTGGGTGCACGTTTATATGCGCGTGCGTGCGCGTCTATATGTGCACGTGGTGTGCGTGCGCGTGCGACGCTCTTGTTTGGCTCTCGCTAATAATTTATGAGCAGATGCTATCTCTACCTACGTAGTGGGCCTTCGGACTAGCCGTCAGTCACCCCCTTGGTTTTCGGACTAGTGAACCTTCGGACTAGCGAGCAGTCACCCCCTTGGTCTTCGGACTAGTGAACCTTCGGACTAGCGAGCAGTCACCCCCTTGGTCTTCGGACTAGTGAACCTTCGGACTAGCGAGCAGTCACCCTCCCCTCGTCCCTCTTCTTCGCCTTCTCCCTCTCCTCTCATCTCTCTTGTTAGTTTTGTGGTATAGGCAGCTACCACTCTATACAGTGGGTGGGTGGTTGATCAGTCTGTGATCATCCCTGTGGGATGAGACACTCCGGGGGTCTTGTACCTTTACCGTCAGGCACGTTCCGTTATGACCAACTATGACGGTGACAGAAACAGCAATAATGCTTTTTAACACCAGCAATTCCAATAGTATTTACAAACAATCCACGAAGATACAGTCTAATCAGAGCTAGGGACTGCCGCGTTTGTGTAGCCAAATCGTTATATGTACGGTGATGTGATGTAGTACGCGCTGTAGGACTCACTGCCGTAGGATGCTGTACGAGCTGTAGGACTCACTGCCGTAGGATGCTGTACGAGCTGTAATGCTTGTCTGATTCGTGAACGTCGTTCCAGTCTATTTATGGGCACTGTGGCTTCGTTCCCGTCACCAGTCGGGTGCCTAGGCTAGGTCGGGTGCATCGTATCTTAGAATCTTGCCGCTTGCCTAGCTGGCGTGGTTGGTAGCGTCCGCGTGCGGAACCGCGGGCTGCTTCCACGGGCTTTTTAACCCCCGAGACGCAGATCAGGGGATCGTGTCTCGGTGTGGTTTCCCGGAAATTTTTGTTGCGTTTTTTATCAGCTTATAAATATTATTGTGATAGCAATTTAAAACTCGGTGGAAAGTTGGTGGGAAATTCGAACGCGCCACTGCCTCTAACAACACGCATACTTGTGATACGTCGGGTGCCACGGACGCGGACTTATTGCTACTACACGATGTGTATACACATGCGTAATATATATATGCGTGCCTTGTGATTCCACCAACTGTGACACACGCAATAACAGCGACGTGATAATGAAAGCCAGGGTCTCCAACCCTGTGAACTCCAAATGCGGAACTCAACCCTACAACCCTTGTCTGATTAGCAGACAAACTACGCGACACCTTGCAGACAGCGCCTGCATTTAGCATGGACGCTGTTCCATTTACCGTAGACATGCCAGATACAAAAATGCCTGAAAAAAAAACAATGTGTCCAAGCAAACAATCAGTGCAAATTTTGTACAAGTGCAACTGAAATGAGGAATATAACCTTCCCGCTGCAGAATGCGGAAATTAAGCCTAGAAATCGTAATGATTCCGCAGAATGAAGAATGGTTGGCGACCCTGGAAAGCATAGTACTGTCTAATGTCATTTGATGTTGTTAATATTGTTTAATATTGTAACGTCTAATGTTATTTTTAAGGTATCCATTTTGAAGCCTGCACAATTTTCGAATCTTCAGTTTATTGCACCTGCTCGATTACTTACTACTCGGTTGCACATTAATGGGTCAATAGACTAGTTGTCTGTGTGTATGTACAGCAATGTACCTGTATGTACCTGTGTGGCCCTCTCTCTCCTTCGCCTTCTCCCTTTCTCTCCTCTCATCTCTCTTCTGTCTCGCCTTCTCCCTCTCTCTTCTTCGCCTTCTCCCTCTCTCTCCTTTGCCCCTCCCCTCCCCCTGGTCCTCCTCTATCTTCTTGGCCTTCTCCCTCTCTCCCCTCGTCCCTCTTCGCCATCTCTCTCTCCTCATCTCTCTTCTGTCTCGCCTTCTCTCTCTCCTCTCATCTCTCTTCTGTCTCGCCTTCTCCCTCTCTCTCCTCTCTCCTCTCTCCTCTTCGCCTTCTCCCGCTCTCTCTCTCACCTCTCTTCTTCGCCTTCTCCCTCTCTCTCTCTCACCTCTCTTCTTCGCCTTCTCTCTCTCCCCCCTCTCGTCTCTCTCTCTCTCTCTCTCCCCTCTCGTCTCTCTCTCTCACCTCTCTTCTTCGCCTTCTCCCTCTCTCTCTCTCACCTCTCTTCTTTGCCTTCTCTCTCTCGCCCCTCTCGTCTCCCTCTTCTCTGCCTTCTCCCTCGCTCCCCTCTGATCCCTCTCTCTCCTCTATCTTCTTGGCCTTCTCCCGCTCTCTCTCTTACCGCTCTTCTTCGCCTTCTCTCTCTCTCCCCTCTCGTCTCTCTCTCTCACCGCGCTTCTTCGCCATCTCTCTCTCTCACCTCTCGTCTCTCTCTCTCACCTCTCTTCTTCTCCCTCTCTCTCTCTCTCTCACCTCTCTTCTTCGCCTTCTCTCTCTCGCCCCTCTCGTCTCCCTCTTCTCCGCCTTCTCCCTCTCTCTCCTCTATCTTCTTTGCCTTCTCCCTCTCTCTCTCACTGCGCTTCTTCGCCTTCTCTCTCTCTCCCCTCTCGTCTCTCTCACCTCTCTTCTTCGCCTTCTCCCTCTCTCTCTCTCACCGCTCTTCTTCGCCTTCTCTCTCTGTCCCCTCTCGTCTCTCTCTCTCACCTCTCTTCTTTGCCTTCTCCCGCTCTCTCGCTCACCGCGCTTCTTTGCCTTCTCCCTCTCTCTCTCTCACCGCGCTTCTTCGCCTTCTCTCTCTCTCCCCTCTCGTCTCTCTCTCTCTCTCTCTCACCTCTCTTCTTCGCCTTCTCTCTCTCGCCCCTCTCGTCTCCCTCTTCTTTGCCTTCTCCCTCTCTCCCCTCGTCCCTCTCTCTTCCTCTCATCTCTCTCCTCTCGCTCTCTCTTTGTGCTCTCATCCCTCTCTTTCCTCGCGCTCTCTCCTCTCTTCTCTCTCTCTTTCTCTGCCGGGAGTGAGGAGGAGAGAAGGGGGGGTCCTCCCTCTCCTCCTCCTCCGCGCGCCCCCTCTCTCCAGGCAGAGCGAGAAAGGTAAAGAGGACAATGACGTCATTAATGGCTTATCGATAGTACAAACAGTCAATGTTACTTACAAGATCAGACGTAGTATTGATAATAATATAATGTATAATATATATCTGAATATGTATGATGTAGTATAATCAATAAATGATTACATGTTACATGCTAGGCCTGCTGTATAACGCTAGTGTGGCATAGTAAGGATAACTCAACAACCACTATCCCGATTTTGGCGATTTTTTTTTTACTATCCCGGCGGGATACCAAGCATTGAAATCTGGTATCCAACACAAGAATCTACTATCCCGCGGACATTGGGATACCGCTAATTTCGACCCCTGGCTAATGCACATGCCTTAAACTCATGATATCTCTACTTAATCTCTTATAATAGTATCGGGTATAACAAAGATCCCTATATTGTCTATATTACATTGCAAAATTGTAAGACAAAATTGCATTGCTGTAATTTTCATGTACAACTTAAAAATCAAAACACATCATCCCCCCCCCCACACACACACACGTATACACACCAGGGTGCAAAATTAACGCGAGTCCGGAGTCAAATACTCCCTGATTTTCTGTCGGACTCCCTGATTTAACATATGCAGGAGACCGTGTGACTCCCTGAAAATTTTGCTATACTATTACTAACTAACTAGTTCGTTCCAGAGCACGGCCTCGCGGATCGAATTGCCGTATTTTTTCAGTAACCGCATGAATATCTTTGGTTTTGAAATTCAGACTGCGGACTCCCTCATTTTGCTGCGGACTCCCTCTTTTTGATGGTAGGGAGTCCATTCCCTTGCTCAAAAGTTAATATCTATTCCTGCACACACATCCACACAGTTATGTTTGATCGAGTTACTCATTCGTGTTACATACCACAATCTTTAGCCGTGCTGACTTGGTTTTCTCCTTCGCTTTAGCAGACGATGACACTTGCTTTTTACATACGTCAAGACGTGCAAGCTTTTTTCTTGCTATTACTTGCTGAAGTCTCAGCACTCGCGGCCTTGTGTGCATAGGGCTTTCTGGCCCAAAGGTGCCACATTTGCAGTTTTTGTCTTGGCAGTCGTGGGTTTTGTCGCAGACTTACTGCTCGATTTCTTCACAGTCTGTGTCGTCCCCGTTTTCGTGGCAGAACTGTGCGAGGTAGTGCTCTTCGCTGAATAAAAATAAAACACGACCGGATCACATATGCTAGCCATGTCGCAAATTAAACATTCGTAAACGTTATTATAATTACTCACCTCAGCCAGTTGCTTATTAGTGGGGTACATTTATATATAATTACGATTAACCGTTGATAAATTTTGAAGTGCTGCCACAAAGCCATGTTACGATCACCCATGCTTACACCTCAATACTAGCAAGTAACAAACCCTCAGAGTTAATCTGTTAAATAGGTATAAAGTAATCCAGCTCATACCACAAGTACAATATGGTAAGATTTCCCTTTGTGCCACATTGGCGATTTTCACGCATCGTACGAGCACACACGACAGGTAGGCAACGACGTCGTCCAACACCGCGTGAGACGTGCCTAATAGTTTCTTGTCCTCGCTCGCAATTTCGACAGCCAAATTATCATCGCTGGCGTTAGTATCCAAGATGTCACTCAGTACGTTCACGAGTACCGCCTGCTCGTCTGCAAGTGGGAAAAGAGACAGTCGCTTACAGACGCCACTCGCGCACATTTACCGTCACCGTTAGTTTCGTCGATCAGTTTGCCCACTGGGATCGTTGGCTATATAAATTAAAAAATTTATCGTTAAATCTATCGCTAAATTTATCGTTAAATAAAAATTTTACTGTGCGGTGACCTGGGAGGGTGTGTATTATACAGGGAGACTGTGCGGTAACGTGGGAGGGTCTATATTATACAGGGACAGTTCTTACCTATTCAGCTTGGTATTTCTTACGTGACTTTCCTGTTATTTTACATGAGCTGCTAGCATGTTGACTAAGTCTTCGTTGCACAGTAACGGAGTCAGCATATACATTTCGCTTTAATGCATCAGGTGCCTTATTACTTACTTTCACAGTTACCTCCCCATACCGATTTCTAATTGAAGGTATAATATTTGTTATGTGCACCTATATGTAAGTATATCTGTATGCATGACAAATATAAATAGACGTATGAAATGTTCATGTATAGGCTATAAAACAGAAGTAGTTGGCTATACATTAGTGTGCACTTATTATTGTTCTTTATTATTATTAATAGCATTCAGCCTAATTTGGAAATGAACATTGGAGTGCATAAAAGCGCATTCACACTATAGTAGCACCAGCTGAACCTTCGTTGACCCTAACAAATCTTCTCCCGTGAGAAACAGTCTTCGCTGAATGATAACAAATGTATGTAAAAGAATGATGGCGCCATCTAAAACCTTGTGAACGACCAAACCTTTCGCAATTCATCACAACGAACTACAACAATGTAATGAACTTACAACCTTGGAATGGTAAAAACTTGCAATGGAACTATGGCAGGGCTACCGCTGGCGTTTGCCACTTTCGTAAAATGCAAGGGATAAATAACAGTCGCGATTTTATGACATTAAGCGACGAATACAATTGGCGAATAGTGTAACTGCTCACAACATTACGATTGACCAAGGACATCATCAAATTGCAGTGTCGTGCCATAAGATGTTTTCATACATCTCTTTTCTCGTACCCATCACCTGTTTATACCTGTTTAACAGGGGCTATAGTTTTTTAAAAGGTGGCTGAAAAAGAACTTTGGTGGCTCAAGAATTAGCTCAAACTTTAACATATGCAGAGGGAGCCCTGCTATGTGCTGTAAATACAGATAAGGGAGCCTTCCTGTTTTTGAAGTCTCTCTTTATTCGAGTCTCCGATGCTTTGCAATCTCCTTTATCTCGGAGTCTCCCTTTCTTGAGGTCTCCCACACCTTGAAATAACTGGGAGTATGCAACCCACTAACTTAATTGCAGCTGTGATGCTAACACAATAAGCATGACCCTAACCGTAATCCTTACCGAATCAAAGCTCGAACTTGTAACCCTCCCCCAAGGAAATTCATGAACCACAGCACTTGTATAAGTCGCAATAACAAACTGACAGCTGTAACCAACATAAAAGCTGCACGTCTATCTGACTGATCATGTTCAATCTCAGGCAATGGACGGCAACCGTTGGGTGTGTCCGAGTAGGACTTTGCTGTCTTGCCCAATCTGGGTGCGGTTCGACACCACGTTCCTACGACAGGCCGACATGCCTAGCCCTTACAGCCAATCATTTTGCCCACCTAACGCATCTCACTTCCCCATTTCCCTTACCTACATTGTTCTATGAACTAGAGGCTCTACCTTGAAAAGCTGCTGCGCATATGGTACGATCTAGCACGAACATTAAATTGTCTCTCACACGTTTACACTGTCAGGCAAGCCCAGTTAAGCTCCTAGGGTCTATGTGCCCCAGGGTACTGCCGGAACGTACCCTGGTACGGAATACTCATGGTGCAGAACGTGTTTCAGACAAGGTGAAATCCATTTTAAATTGCTATGAGTTTACCGGGTCGCGACAGCAGCATTTCGTGGTGACCTATTCATGTTATGCAATTCAGACGTTATTTTCCTGAAACTTTAACCTAAATATGCCTTCTAAGGCAGGTGGAAGTGTGACTCATAGAAAAGAAGACGACGAGAAAGAAATGTGTTTCATTCCAGTCTAGCGTCGACCACTGCATGCTGCTTAGCAGCGCTAGAGTTTTTGCCAAGTGTGAGTAGTGCACACCTGTTTTTTGCCCGTCCATCACTGCCAAATTACTATTACTGATGTTTTCGTCATTAATCAAACTGGACAAGTACAACATTTCTAAATAATTAGCAAGTCTGACATTTCGAATGCATATCACATTATTGAAACTGAATCCCCCCACAGACCAACCTCGAACCAATCTAGACCAATCTATAGTAGCTTTTATAGATGACTATAGCCGTGCTCGGCAGTGAACATTTCAGGTTAGTTTCAAGCTGTGATATAATGTACGCCCTAGTGTAATAAATATTATGTAGCAATATTTACGCACCATATATACACCTAGAGAAATAGATTTTCCCACCAACTTTTGAGTTCGAGAGAGTTATCGGGTCGTGCACCAATGAAGTGCTCGCTTATAAATTATGTCAATACATTCGGCTTTTGGCTTTTGGCTTCGATTGCATAGTAAAGATATAAAATGCAGCCATAAGCACCACAAGTGCCATTGCCATTCCTACACTTCTACCACTTAACCTTCCTACAATCGCCACTGCGCGCTGCAATATACACTGCATACCGCCCCTACACAGTTGCGGCACTTGTTAGTGCTGCTTTTGCATGGCGAGTCCTAAAATTCCCGGCAGCTCTTTATGCACATGCTCTTCACTTTGATACAAGGTTCGTTGTTGCGGCTTTACAAGATTAACCCTTCACTCTTCATCCGCTTGGAGTGTGCGTGTGTCACCTTAACGTTTTTCAGTCGCCTTTACTCGTGCGCTTTTTGCACACCTTCCTGGTTCCATTAATCTTGACATTTACTCGTGGCAGTCTTTTGTCGAGCAGCTTTTCCCTATGATTAAGTCCTTTTTTGCGTGTTTTTGGGAGCTTCACTTCACCTCCCAGCGCTTGCCTAGAACAGCTGCTCGTCTCCTGTAGCTCTTCTCGCGTATCTTTCCTCTGTCGCGTCGCTACCTTACCCTTCATTTCACTGAAATTGAAGTTTTACTGCGTGCACGCATCTATCGTCACGCGATGTTCGGAGAAATGTTCGACGCTATAGCGAAGTTCGACGATGCATTTGCACGCCACTTATCATACTGAACTCACAAACAACTCGAACTCGACGATGAAACGCGTCTTTTTCCATCCCAAAAAACGCAGCAATCTTAATGAATAACCTCTACGCAGACACTGCCTACACGGTTGAATGTCAACTATGTGAACCGGCCTTGTGGCTTTGCCATGTGAACTACCATTTTGTTTTCTTGCAATCATTCCAATGAACGCACACCCCACTTTCTGATGTAAATGCACAGAGCCCCCAATTGGCCGCTTCGACGCTCGAAGCATTGCCGTGGACGGGGTGCGCATCGGCAGGCTCATGTTGGCCGTGTGCATGTCCGCAGCCGCTCATGCAGGGAGTGCTTCAGCATGTGGTTTGGTTCGGACTTCTGGGCCATTCGCAGATAAACCGTACAATCCCATACCCAAGGTAGCCGAAAATAAAGTACTTGTTCATAGTCCTTTGATACTAATTCCGCAAGTAGAAGCTCCGACGAGTTTAAAAATTGTAACGGTGATTTTTACCCAACTGAATATTCGAAATGCTGTCTAAAAAATTGATGTGAATAAATTCTTTGCCATTAACCATATACGTTACCTCTTCTTCATTTCTGTTTTTAGCTGTGCCCTGATGACATTCCAAGTAATTCTTTATTACAGTTATTCATGAACTGCACTTTAAATAACATGGAATGCAAAGACATACAGCATAGAGCGAAATATTTGACCCTTCAGGAAAATATGCTGCTTTAACATCATGATGTTACAGGCTGTCTTTGAACAATTTCAAAAGCGATAATAAACGTCAACTTGTTTTCCTTACTGTCAAACAGTATGGCTCGATCGGGCAGGTTGTCACAGTGACTCGCAAGATATGAATGCTTCAGGATTTTGTTCTGCGCCTCGACGCCATTGTTAGTCTTTATGATTGCATGATATGTTGTTTGTCGATAGCACCGCATCCACCGTTCTTGTCGAGGGAGCGAGTAAGAATTCATGTACTCTTGCACTTTCTTTTGCTCCCAAACCTGACTGCACTGCAAGTCGTGCAGGGCCTCGTTTATTTGTCCTACATCGTCTGCATTTGCCAAACACCGCAGGCGGTCCAGCAAATCTTTGTGTTCAAGAGGGGAGAGACCATTACCGGACTTACGCACCCATCGCTGCCATGCCTGGCATCGATGAGAATCGCAAATGTACAGAATACTGCCAGGAAACACTGTATTCACAGAACCAATCTGAGCATCACTGCAGTCGGACATGAAATACTTCGGAGACACGCACGGGTTCCACCCTTTGAAGATTTCAACGGCTTCACCAATACAATGAACATTTCCCTCTTGTACAAGGAACGTGGCAACCACAGTGTAGGACACATTTCTTTTCACAACCAAGAAAAACAGTGGCAATGCATACTTCATTGTTTTGTATGTGGCATCGTTTACACACAGCTGTCCATATTTTGATATGAGTACATGCCAAGCAGGCCATGTACAAGTCATGGGCGTCGCAGCCATCGTCTCGCATTGTAAACATTAGAAATCCAGATTGTCCACATTGTCCTCCATAAGCCTATATGACTAATTTCCATAATTGCCTCGATCATCTTGGTTATTTTTGTCACGAACAATTGTATAGTATTAGTACACATTGTTATGAAAAAAGACATAGATGAATGTGATGCCTTGTCTAGATCTGTAGCCAACAGAGAGGGTGGTATGTTCGTTGGGTTGCCTATAGGGTCACTGTGGTCATTGGATCTACGGACTTTGGAATATATGCAAAAACTGAAATTAGTAAAAACGCAGGCGAGTGTTTACATGAAACATGTATTTTCCTAAGCGCGCCTTTGCCATTTTATACCCCATCTTGTATGATGTAAATGTACATCATACTTTCTCTTGTATTCTTGTATGATGTAAATAGCACATGTGCACTTTGCACTCTCACTTATTATTCATTAATGCCTAAACGTTACTACGGGTTACTTTGTCACCAAAAGAATCATTAATTGTGGAAACATTATTAGAATGATGTAAAATATTATTCATCTGGGCTATAGTTAATAGTAGTAAACTAGTATACTAATAACGGTCGAGAATAGCAACACGAAACTTCATTTCAAGTAACCTATACCTGCAAGCTGCTAACCCGACCAGGCGGTGTGACTAACGTCAATATACACAGGGTATTCTAACCCTAGCAAGACCGCGTTTCTTGCAGGTAGCATCGTAGCAGGCTAGCTGTATTACTAGTAATAACATAACAGCTAGCACTATGTCCATAACATTGGCAGTATCTGTGTAAACTCTACTATGCACATTTATTTAATTAATACGCCAGGCACGATTGTAATTTGGCGTATCATTCAGTGAAATACCCGTTGAAAAGCATTTGTAACAAATGTTTAGCAGGATAGTAATGTCAATCTGCGCTGGCCGTCTGCACTGCAGTGCAGTGCCAGTGGCCGTTGCAACATTTCGATGCTTCAATGACCTTTATAATACTGCTGGTCATATTTTATCACAGAACCATTGTGCATATCACATACATTGTAAAGTGCCCGGTAGACGTATCGTCCCGTGTCATTATCATCATTTCGATGAGTATTGAAATGTGCAGGATTATTTTCGCCCATTTTATCTTCAGGCCACATCACTTGTAATTTATCGAAGAGTTACGGTTATTAATAAGAGTTCTTCAAAACTTCTTTCCATTACTTGTTTTCGAGAACTATTGAACATGCACTGACAACACAGCTCACCACTCACAAGAGTGGTAACCGTGGGCTACGCAGTAAACAATTCAGATCGAGGTGGCGCTGTTTCAATATATTATGCAAATTATCTCCTGTAGGGGCCTGAATATAGACAAACCCCGACCGCTCGTGTGTCGTTGAAGAGGCGCTGCGTTCGTTCATCCAGCGTTCGCATGCAGCGCTCGCTCTCCTGAACACGCCTGTGTAGTCATTCCTATTTTGTTTACACACATCATTTACGTACGCCACTTTTGACAGTTTCTCCATTTATCACGAGCACAAAATGCATTCGTCGGAATTACCTGTCGCCACTTTAGCCGCCATATGACAGATTGCCTGACATATCTTCTACTCCAGTCAATATGTTTCGGCCGCCATGCTATGCGCAGACACATGAAACACGTTTGCTCTCGCCCGTACGTAAAACAACCAACGCGGAAAAACAGCTAGCCTGCTGCATGTGGCGCCGCTGAATATATGATTGCCTATGGTCGCCAACATCAAAATTCATCAATACTTTCGGCGTCGTGGCGGCAGGGCGGCGGCTCATGATCGTGCGTTGCACATTCGTCACTCCGTGACACTAGGTGCTTTTGAAGGAGCGCCACCTCCTGCCAGCTACGCCCCCCCCCCACCAATATACGCTATTTAGTGTGCATGAACCCCGCACGCTGGTCACGACCCCAACCTCTCGTCTAGCGATCGCGCCGCCTGTACTCGCTGAACACCTGTCGTTCCTCGCACATCCGACGCCATCCCTCCGACATATTTACATGCCAGCGAACTCTCCGCGTCGAACTCTTTACAAAGCCGCTGTCACTATCCATCAAAAGTCATAAACACTTTGCGTTTTCGATTACTTCGCTACAACATCCAATTCCATGGCAGTAAACATTCGGCGGCGTTTACTGCCCATTATCGCCTATTCACGCCCGCATCTAGCCAAGCAAATCCTTTCTTTACTAACGGTTGGCACCCCCCCCCCCAAAAAAAAAGAAATCCTGTAGACGGCCCTGCCGAGCATTGCAAAACCCCCCCCCCAACTATAAAGCTGGCTGCGGGCCTGTTATATCATTGAAGTTGTTGATGCAATGTCATGTACGCAACAGCGAGCGCCTGTTTCTACTTGCCGCCCACTGACGGCAACTTGCGCGCTATATAAGGCCAACATAGCGGCCATCCGTTGAAGTGGCGAGAACAACCAGCCGCGGTTAAACAGAGTTGTGCGTCTTCCGAATACACAGTGAGTTGCAGCACGCACCTAAGACAGGCAACGGAAATTAAGAAGGACAGTTCACCAAGAACATTCCATACAGCGTTACTGGAATGAGTGTACAGTGACTGTACGCATCATTTCTATACGAAATAGACAGACGACTGACAATGATATATATGTATGTCGACTGTTCAGTATGAGTTGCATAGACCGGTACACACGGAGCATACACCACACTTTGGCTTGTGAACATACAGCAACGGCTGAATAGCGCTCACAGTTCAAACTTCAATACTGACGACGCGATCACAGCGAAACACACGCACCTTACACGTGTGAACGACCACCACACTCCATTGAAAATGTTGTCGCGTTACATTTTAAGCGGACGTATCGAACACGCTACCGCAATTGTAAATGGCGATGATGTAAAAACTGTTGGAATCAGTATTGTCGACAACGATTTCGTCGAGGAAAAATGTCGCGTAATAGCTCATATTTTGCGCATTAAGAAAAGCCAGCCAGGTAAGAAGAAGGCGGTGAGCAGAGAATTTGATGGCAAGGTTATGAAACTCGAGAAGCCGTATGACCGTCTCGTCTTGTGCAGGTAACGCCATATTTCACTTCCTTGTACTTCCAGCAGCTCACGCATGCGAAGTAAATCTCTTTAATTGCATTGCTTCAGGGCAAATTTATGAAGAAAGGGAATAGTGTGACATCACTTTCGAAGCGTTTGCAGCAGTATCAATGAATTACTGTTCTTTACATTTCAGAGACATTACTGAAGGCACGTTATTCTACGTTTATTGTAGAGATGAAGTGAAGGCTGCGCAAGTGTTTTTAATGCGCGACTGTGCATGGATTGGCATGACGATGTGTATATTTGAACCAGAGTTTCAATTTACACTGGCTGGCATGGCAGCAATTCACACGAACAGCCATTACTGCCTTTGCACGACCACTCCATGGGTACTGTTTACGAGCCCTACGTCAGTGGGATGGTCGTTGCTCCGACGACGAAAGCGCTCTTTGTCAGAGACGCAGACATAGTGCTTAATCGTGTCAATGTCATCGACGCATGTGGCGCAGCTATGTGTGCTGGACAGCATGATCATACGCTTCGGTGCGGTGCGCTCACAGCTCCTACACCGAGGAAGCAAATCCTACGGTGTATCCTGTCTTCTGTGAGGGCTGGAATTGTGCGAACGAGGTTTCAATCGACATCGTGGACAAGTGTCATGATGGACGACGCTTCTATGAAGGTAAACATCAACATTGCACATCACTGCATACAGCAAGAGCTTGTCCCCGTGTAGGTCAAAGAAACGGTATTGCTAGGGTTAGAAGGTCTATTGACGTTAGTCACACAGCCTGGTCGGCTTAGTCCCCGTGTCGTTCTCGACGATGTGCATGTCGAACTTTCTTAACGTTTTCTACATGCAAACAGTGCTATAAGGATATGTTCATTTAAAATTGGTAGCAGTAGAATATCCCAAGCAAAAATTAGCTATGAAATGCAGTCGTTTGTAAACAACATGGAAATACACCTGTGCGGGCAAATCCACTCGACTCCATAACAATGAATGAAAATGGCGTGCCCTATTAAAGGGGACTACAACTAACACATGTAGCTCAGGTGAAAACTGAGTTTCGAGAATTGTACAAAGAAATGCACGAATGAAATGGAAATTATTCCATCGAACAAAAGGAACCTGGCTAGCATAATACTGAACTGTGAAGTCGGTGAGTTCAACACTGTTTTGGATGTATATGCATCATCATCGGAAATCCTTCGTTTCGAAATTCTTACGCAGTTGAAAGCGCCTAGAGACACCCGTACATTCAATTCGCTGACCATTAAAGAAACTCCATCAATTCAGCCATGCTCAATTGGTCGTTGCAGTTACCTAATTACCTAAAGCTTTATTTCTGCATTGTCGTTCGTTTTTCCGATATTGCGTTGCAGATGAACGCGCGAGACTTGGTGGATGATGTTGCGATCCGGGAAGCATGTGCGGCAGTACTCAAATACTATAAGGACGCCAACGTCGGCTGGATCATCTGTGGATGGTACAAACCAGGCATTGCGGCAGGGGCAGAAGTCGCGAAAAAGCCAAAGTTCCACGTAACGCACGTTCGGCCTGAACGCCTGCTTGCCGAAGCGCCTAAGTACAAATGTCCTGTCATGCCAGTGGCCGCAGCAGAACGGCTTCAACTAGCGTTCCCTCGGATGGCAGCGGCCCAAGCACCTGCACCTGGACCTGCTGGTGCACCTGCTCGCGTGGAGAATGTCGATGTCTAAGTACAGATTACATACATGCATGTCATCTGTTGTTATATACTGTTCATATATGTGGATCAAGCAATGTGTGGTGGAGGCGGAATTGAAGTATGAAAGTACCACCTATTGCGTCAGTTCTGCAGTGTTTTCAACAGTGCCATCGCATGGAGTGTTATTGCTTCACTAACACGAATTGTCTAGAGTAACGCTACTAACAGGCAAATGCGTAAGGACCTTTCTATACTAGTACTACAATTCAGAAGTAGTCGTTGAAAACTCATTTTTGCGCCAAACGTTTCCGTCTTACGTGCAAGTATAGAATATGTCAGTTCCATCACATATTCTGACACACTCATTGAATGAGGTGTCCTTGCCAGAATCCTCTTCTAAGCGTCAAATATAATAAGCATGTGTTGCATGTCAGGAAATGCTACGCGGCTTTATTCTTCAGCATGTTCATACTCTGTTATTGACTGAATATGTCATGATGTCGTCTCCGACGTCGAGATTGTGGTGATGTGGCGTGCATCCGCAGTGACACTGTGCCAAAATATGCACACCACCTGCATCACTATTGAGACTGTCGCCAAATATCGATAGGGCGTGCATCGCGAGTGACACTGTGCGCAAATATCGCCACGACGTGCGTCGCGAGTGACACTGCGGGCAAATATCGACACGACGTGCGTGGCGAGTAAGACTGTGTCAAAATATGCACACAACGTCCGTCGCGATTGACAGTGTGCCGAAATATGCAAACGACATGCGTGGCGACTGACAATGTGCGCAAATATCAACAGTACGTGCATCGCGATTGACACTGTGCGGAAATATCCACACTAAGTGCGTGGCGACTCACACTGTGGCCAAATGTGGACACAACGTGCATGTTGAGTGACACTGTCAGGAAATATGGACACGACGTGCGTGACGAGTGACACTATAACCAACTATATACTACAGACGACGTGCGTGACGAGTGACACTGTGCCGAAATATGAAGACAACATGCGTCGCCAGTGACAGTGTGCGGAAATATGCACACTATGTGCGTCGCCAGTCACACTCTGCCCAAATACGCAGACGACGTCAATGGCAAGGTAGGTGCTGCACGGATTGTACAAACACTTAGCTGCAACAAACGGTATTGCTAGGACAAACAGTGAACATGTCTTTTCCACTATAACGCACTATAACGCGCCGCGCAGGCACTCACGTGCGCCACGTTCTCGCCACACGCCAACATGTAGCAAGACCATCGCATCACGCAAAACATAGTGTTCATCGTATAGTGCGCAGGTGACAATGTTAGTAGTCATTGCAGCAGGAACACAGGTATAGCTATACGAGTACGATAGTCGCTGGGTCATTGCT